ACATTTCATGCTTTGTTCTCTTTAACAAATGCCTTTTATTTCTGGTAAATGACTATTATTGAGTTCTCTTTATTAATCCTTTATGGGCTGTGTGTGTCTGTGTGTGTGTATGTGTGTGTGTGTGTGTGTGTGTGTGTGTATGCACTCACATGCTCATGCATTCATGTGTGTTATTAATTAATGGCATAGGATAGCACTGATATGTGAGAAAAAAACATTTTAGGGGATGTAAGCCCTAAAAAACCACTGAGCCTATAATCTTAAATGGCTTGGGAGGCTAGGGCTGGAGGATCATGAGTTCAAAGCCAGCCTCAGCAAAAGCGAGACAATAAACAACTCAGTGAGACCCTGTCTCTAAATAAAATACAAAATACGGTTGGGAATGTGGCTTAGTGGTTGAGTGTCCTTGAGTTCAATCACTGGTACTCCACCTCACACCCCCCTCAAAAAGCCACTGGGTATAAACAGTTAACACTCTTAACTATAGACTTTTCTATTAATAGACTTCATAAAAATCTGCTCATCCACAAGTGTTAGATCTACCTTCACATTCCAGAAAATACAGATATGCAAAGAGTTTCTTATTTGGAAAAATAAAGTATTTTACTGTGTAACCAATGAGATCCCTATGATAAAGCCAAAAATTACAAATAGTTCCACTTACAGAGACCTCTCCTGAGGATATTAAAGATCAAAACATGCTGCCTTCTAATTTTGGATTTCATCTATAAAAGTAAAATATCTTTGGAATGAATGAGGTTTATAACCATAAGGCAATTGCCAGAAAATAAAGCATATTTAATTTCATTTAAGATCCAAAGTGGCATTGCTTCATGAGAAATGTAGTCCCACTGAAATTGTATGGCAATGTTTTGTTGAGTTTAAATCCTGTAGGAAGAACTCATTTCACTGTACATTCATCTAATTGAATATTTTCCACTGACAGTCAAAGATTGTGTTTTTTGGCTAACTGCCAAACATAAACTTTTGAAGTGTTGTAAGTGACATGTTCTGAATACTGTGAGGCTGCTGTATATTTATGAAGTGAAGACTTGCAAGGCTGACATGGGCTCAGGAAGCCCATCCTTCAACCATAACCATCTGGAGTAACTTCTAGTCTAGTCTGGAGATGTAAGCTATATGTGTGACTCAAAGAATTGTTTGCTATATTAGAGGCTCATTCCAACAACTAAAGAAAATTCAAAAATTTTTTTTCTCTCCAAAGCACATTCCAGAACCATAAAATCATTCTTCATCTATACACACATCCATACTCATAACTAACAGAGCTTTATATGTGCTGATGTCTAAAATGTCATACATGTGTGTGTATATATATATATATATATATATATATATATATATCATACTTATATAATCATCACATTCTAAAATGTATGCATTACATACTTACATATATAAGCCTGAATCTGCATAGATAATTCTAGAAAATATACAAGAAATCATTATATAAAAGACTCTGAAATGTGTGACTAGGAAGTTGGGAATTTTTAAGGGAAATCTTTATTTTTCACCAGATGCCTTTCCAAACAGTTCATTTTATTTTGAGCAGCATTTACAATTTTATGATTTTTAAAGCTAGTTTATAAATAATTCTCTGTAGAATTAAATAAAATTATATTAATTATATTTCCACATGAGCATAAAATTAATATTATACAAAAAATCAAAAAACTTCAAAAGAAAAAATTTGTTTCATTTACAGATCTGACAATGCTGAACAAAAAATTCAGAGTCTGGTTTTCTTGTATTGTGTACACACCTTTAAGAAGAATTTAACTTTTATATAAAACTTTTATTTTATTATGGAACTCTTGACCGAGAGAGCACAAGAACTCATACAAATAAATATTTACCCCTATTTATCACAGAAAACCTTCTCTTACTCTGGGCTAATTTAGCAATATTTCCTAATAGTGAAATGATTACTCTTGGTCAATACTGTTAACTTCATCTCCTTGCTTATGGTTTATATATAAATTAATGAGAACTAGTAGTATCTATACAATGAAATAATTTTGAATAATCTAGAGGCTGTTGCCATAAGAAATTGGCACCAGAAAGAGATAAATATTGTCAGAGTTTGGCTCCTTCCAAAAAATTCAAGATGTCTCAGAGACCTTAATAAAATACTCTCAAGGCAAAAGTGCAAATAGGCAAAGGTCAAGGGATATGCCGCAATTTCATGGAATATGCCCTCTGCTTTCAGATAAATAGCAAGAAATATAAAAACAACTTGCCTTCAGGTAATTCATGGAGAGTCCAAAGTGCAATCACAAAAAAAAAAAAAAAATCAAAGGAGAGTTAGATCCTATGAAGACAAACCAGACTCTCCTATGATTCTTAGCAGTAAGACTACCATTACACCAACACTGAAAACTGACTCCTCAGGTAGAGTCCGAATCACTATGTCCATTCTGCAGTTCATTATTTCCAACTAGCCAGGCCCTAGATGTATATACTTTTTTTCTGAGAGAATTCTCACACTTCCCTTTCTCCTGCCTCACTTTCTTCACTTATTAACATCTTGCATTAGTGTGGCACATTTGTTATGATAATTGATACATTCTTATTAAATTCCATAGTTTATATTAGCATTCCTTCTTTGAGTTGTACATTCTGTGCGTTTTGAGGAATGAGTGATGTCAGGTATCCATCACGACAGTGTAAAATAGATTCACTCCATTAAAAATCATTTTTGTTCTACCTATCCATGCCTCCCTTCTTCCTCAAACCCCTAGAAGTCACAGGTTGCTTTATTGTGTGTATAGTTTTTGTCTATTTCATAAAACCATATAGTTGGAATTTTATAATACATAGCCTTTTCAGATCAGCATCTTTCTCAATGCCAGTCTGCATGTTGCCTCCAAATCTTTTCATAGCTTGACTGCTCATTTCTTTTTATCACTGAATAATATTCCATTATATAGCTGTACCACAGTTTGTTTATAAAGTCAGCCTTTGAAGGGCATCTTGGTTGCTTCCAGATCTATGTATCTTTGAGTAAAGCAACCTTTCTGCCAGCCTTTTTTTCGGCTTACCTTCTATTTCGCACAGGTGATTGGCAGTACCATTATGCTACTCTCTCGCCTTTTGTTGGGAAACTGAGTAAGAGATAACTTATCTTTAACTTCTCTAATCCCCTATTGCCTGTTAGGTTTTTTTTTCCCTTAGCCTTTTTGCTTTTTTTTGGCATTTCTTGGATAAAATAATACTTGTTGGATTCACTGGATCTCTTCTGCCAGAAGGTCCACTTTTCTGTGTACCTTCATGCTTTAGAAATGATGCTTAAAATGGAAATGAGTTTGTCCTCCCTGGGCAGCCTCTGCAGCAGCAGGAAAAGGTGGGGAGAGTGGCAGCTGGGGATCAGACCCGGAGGTGGATCTGAACCTGGACATCAGCGGCAGAGCACAGATTTGCCTACTGGCTGGGAGGAAGCATAAACTTTTGAAGGTGCAAGATACTCTATAAACCGTAATGAAAGGAATGACCTGCAAACATCCACTCACAGGACAGCCATCACAGGACAACTGTATTTTCATAGTGAACTAACACAATTAACTGTTGCAACCATGATGTCTAAAGAAAAGAAAGAACGACCTATAAGTATGATAAATGAAGTTTCTAACTATTACATGACTTCAGATTATGGAGTACATCCAAAGAGCCCTATAGGCAGAAAATCACTGGTTTCAATTTTAAATAGAGGTCAAATTCAATTAAAAGAAATCCTAATGCACCTGTGGTCAGATGAGGTTGGTTTTATAAACAGGACAATACTAGTATGAAGCTGTGGAAAAAACACTGTTTTGTGCTTTCTGATCTTTGCCTGTTGTGTTACAGAAATGAGAAACAGGAGAATATCCTAGGAAGCATACTATTACCTAGTTTTCAGATGGCTATGCTAACTTCAGAGGATAACATTAATTGCAAATATGCTTTTAGGGCAGCCCATCCAAATATGCAGACATATTATTTCTGCACTGATACAGGAAAGAAAATAGAGTTGTAGATGAAAGCCATGTTAGATGCTGCCCTTGTACAGACAGACCTGTGAAAAGAGTGGATAAGATTACATCCAAAAGTATACCAAATAAAGAAAGCAATAAAATTCCCAAACATAGAGTGTTAATTAAACCAGAGGCCCCAAAACATCGCCCCTCCAAAAAAACAACAACAACAACAAAAAAACAAAAACAAGGAAATAAGCAAGATTGAAGAAAAAAAGACATTAGAAGTTGAAAAATATAAATTTCAGAAAGATGGTCAAAATAGACCTTTAACAAAAATTAATAGTGTAAAGTTGAATTCTTTGTCACCTGAATATGAAAGTGGGTCAGCATGCCCAGCTCAGACTGCATACTACAGACAAGTCAATGTGAATAGTTCAGAGAACAAAACAGTCAATGTCAGCGTGGCAGATCTTAGAGGTGGAAATCACCCAAATATAGGGCCTTTGCATGCAGAGGCTGATCTAGTCATACAAAGAACAAATTCAAATGCAACTGTTGAAACAGTGGATTAAAATCCAGAAAGGGAGGGGACATGAAGAAGAAAACAGAGGAGTAATTTCTTACCAAACATTACCAAGAAATATGTCAAGCCACAGAGCTCAGATCATGGCCCTCTACCTTGAAGGTTATAGAACACTCCCAAGAAACAGCAAGAGGAGGCCTCAAAGTATCTGCAGTGTATCCCCTTCCAGTCATGGCAAGACAGTAGGAGCTGGAACAGAAGAAAAATGGAGGTTAATGAGAGATGACACTATGTGGCAGCTCTACAAATGGCAGCAGCACAGTTCTATAATAAGCAAAGCACCCTCCCTCAACCCAGTTCTGTGAATATTCCTAAAACTATGGTTAATATTTCTGATGCACTCTATTCCCACATCACCTTCATTGCTTACCAGTGTTCCTCCCCTCAGCGAACATACAGATCAGAAGTGTCTTCACCAATTCAGAGAAGAGATATGACAGCAGACCTTAGACACAGGGGTAATTACCCTAAGGTAAAATGTGTTCTAATATTGTGTTAGCTCACTACTTAACAGATGTTATATTTTCTTTATAATATACTATTCTTTAAAATGAGAGAAGCAGGTGATTAGAGAGAAAAGAAAGGCTGTTCTTATTTATAAAATCTAAGTTTGCAATGCTTCATCTCTTAATACAATAGAAACAATTCTGTCAAGCATTGTGCATTCATTTCTGTCTGACAGCACATCTCATTAGCTCTCCATGTGGGTTAAAGACCACATGCATTTTTATTTTTTATTTTTTACACACTTGGAAATTCTACATCTGTCCTTTTCCGGTATACCTGCAGTTTTGTATCAAGCTTGTTCTGTTTTTTTTTTTTTTTTTTTTTTTTTAACTAGGCTTTACCTTCTAATCAAGTGACTGGCATGTTGAGAACTCCTTGTATACCCAATTCAACATTAGAGAGTAGCAATATTTAATAATATGCACATTTAAAAATTAAAATATAAGTAAAGATCAAAAACAATGGGGATGAGTCTACACTTTAGTGACCTCATGGAAAAATATTAAAGGTTCTCATATAAACTTTGCTTTTGCAGATTCAGATCACAATGACTGACTCACTAAAGCCATAAAGGTAAGTCTTATCCTTGCTCATTTAAATTAAGTATATAGTTTGGATACCAGCATCCCCCCCAAAAAATGTGGTGAAGGGAACAAATAAAAAAAAAGCTTAAATTTTAGATCTCTTATATAGATCTTAAATAATAGGAACTTGAGACTCATCATTTTTCACAAAGACTGGGACTGATAATGCTATTTGTCATTTCATAAATGTGTACAAAACAATCACATCTTTAGTATAAGCAAAGCTTTTTAGTAGATGAGATTCCTTTAGAAGGTATCAATAATTTTAAATATTTTTTGAATAATTACCACATAAATTAATTTATTGAAATATCACTAAAGTCGTTGTCACTACTATGTTATAGATTAATAATAATTTCTTGATATACTAAAACTAACACAATTTTATAAATTAAGTTTTTTATATATATCTAACCTCTACTTTGAAATTTATGTCAAAGACTTCATTCAGTATATAGTGACAATTAATTTGTCCTTCAGATCCTTTGTTAAAATCTGCTCAATGGATCCAGTAATACAGTTCAATGATAAAGAACTTGCTTATCACTGGGATTGAATCCCAGCTCCATGAAAAAATAAAATAGGCTAAACAAATAATGTTAGCTTATATTGAAGTATCAAAAAATTTCCAAATATCAAGAAATCAGGAACATATTACCTTACTTTCTTAAAATATCACATGACTCAATTATAAGAAAATACAGTAAAAATGAAATGATAAAATTCAAGAAAAGGATGTGGTAGATAGAATAGTACCGCACCAAAGATGCCATAAAAATATAATCCCTTGAATTTATTTATATTTATAATGCAAGAGGGACTTCAGAGAAGGGAGAGTATATGAGATTATTAAAGTGGGCCCTTATAATCAGAAGGGTCTTTATGAGAGGGAGATAAGTGTGGACAGAAAAGATGGACAAATGGAATGAGAATTCAGAGTGATGTGGGTACTTGCCAAGAAATCCTGCACAGCTTCTATTAGCTAGGAAAGGCAATGTCTTGGTTTATTCAGCCCACTAAAACAGAACACCATGAACTAAATAGCTTAACCATGGAAATTTATTCTGCAGTTCTAAAGTCTGGAAAGTCCAAGATCCAGATACCAGCAGATTTGATGTCTGGTGAGAGCTTGGTCTCTGGTTCATGGGTTGTAATTCATAGCAGTATCCTCACATGGTGAAGGATGCAAAGCAGCTCTCTGGGGTCTCTTTTTTAAGGATACAAACCAATTCATTAGGGCTCAATCCTATATAACAAGCATTTGTCAAAAGTCACTGCCTTTTAATACCATTTGCTTGTGGGTTAGGATTTCAACCTATGAATTTGGAGGTGGAGGGTACACAAACTTTCAAACCATAGCAGAGAAGAGCAAATTGCCCTCTTGCTCTGTTGACAGCTTGATATTGGTCTTGTAAAAACCATTGCAGAATTTTAAATATAAATTATTTAAAATAATTTGTATTATTTTAAGCCACTATGTTTATGATAAATTGTTCCTGCATCAAAAGGAAACTTAAAAAGTGGTGTTTGCCAATCACTTCCTCTCAGAGCCATCTTTTGTTGTTTGTATGTTCTACTTTGCCTTCAGGTCCTCCAGATTCTATAGTATGTAACCAAAAAAAGGCTATATGGGAGAATGGAGAGTAGGAAGAAAACAGGGTCCAAAGCAGTATTCAGGAGAACTCCTTCTGGCTGTCTCCTCTATATGCAGCTCTTATTAGATAGTATTCCTTATTTAAAACAAAATGTAATAACTTATGCATGTCAAAGATGTTAACATTTTAAGAGAAGCTATTTTACAACGTATATATTTCATTTCAGTGCTAGTTACTAGCTATCCTACACTTCAACATTAAAAAAATAGTAAATTGGTTAAATCTGCACATTTAGTTTAAAATGTTAACCAGATTTATCTAAGATTCTTGCAATCTGCTACCAACACAAGATCTTCTATTATCCAATTCTCAGATAGTTGTGCTATATAATTTTGAATTTTTATAACCTGTTACTATATCTGAGCTAGAGTTTTACTTATAAATGTTCAGCAATTGTCCTTCCTACCATGAATCTGAGCTTTTATGTACTAAACATCCTATCTACTTTCTATTCTTTTACAGAATGTTATTGCATACATTTAAAAGATACAGCATGACGTTTTAATATACATATACCTAATGAAATGGTTCCTATAGTCAATCAAATAAACACATCTGTCATCTTAAATAGCTATACACTTGTGGAAGAGAGGCAAGAGCACCTAAAAACTACACTTTTAGGAAAAATCCTGAATTTCATGCAAGTATCATTACCTATGGTTCTTGGGTTACACATAAGATCTCTGGATTATTTCATTCTGTGTATTTGCTTCTTTGTATCCTTGAATTAAAACTCCCCATTTTCTCACCACCACCACCCCTACAATCACCGTTTTATTCTCTACCTTTGTGTCTTTGACTTTTTACACTATTTTCCTCCTTATTCCACATTTTAACACTCTTGATATCCAACTTCAATCTGACTTGAAAACACTTTTAATCCTTCTGGTCCACTGAATACTATTCTATCTTATCTCAGAGCAGTCTTTCAAGGAAATGGTCTTCAAAGCTAAGGCACATGCACTTTAATATATATATATATATATAGACAGCTTTCATAATGCACAAACTGTTAACAAAAGTCTAAAGCAAAATACCAACTCATCTCATAAAATTACAAATGAATGCAAATATATCAACAACAAAAATAAAAGGGCAGTAAGTGTTCTGATGTCAGTGTGTTGTCCAAGTACTATTTTTCAAGGCAGCTTGGTTACTCTATTTCTTTAAAATTTTAAGGAAATATTCTAGTTTCAACAATTGTTGAGTAACTTCTTATTCTAAATAATTTTTAAAAATCTTTTTTACATGAGATATTTACCCATAATTTCAGTGAAATATTCTCTACCAGATTTTTCTACCAAAATGTATTTTTTAAAGTACTTTATTTTATTTTTCTGACATTTTTATGACATTAACTTTCCCAGATATGAATTTAAAATATGTAAAATTTCATAGTATGGAAGAATGCATTACTCATAGACTAAATACATCATCAACACCCTCTTCACTTCCTCTCAGAACAAACTGGGATTTCGTGGTAAAAAACTCTCACAACATTTTTTTAAACATATGCCTATATAAATGTATTTCTAGCAGGCAAATGGAAAAACGGCATTAAGCTGTATTCAATTTGAGTCCAATTTGGAAAAAAAAATCTGAACAAATAGCATTGCATAATTTGCATAGTGCTCTTGGAAAAGCAACAGGATGTCTAAGTATGATTGAGATTGGTCCCTAAATCACAAAATTACCTCAACTCCAGGAGTTATGGTTATTTTCATCAGAGAGGTGAAAGTTGCCTGCCCAGTGAGATTACTTTCAGCAATATGCCAGTGCTTGTTGCCATATGTTCCAAGTTGTAAGATGTCCTGTTAGAATTATGGATGCAGTTTTGCAGTCAGGAAAATGACAAATTCCTCTCCCTTGAAGACATTAACTTTATTTCACTTTGTTCTAACATTGTGTACAGACAATGAGAATGATATAGTAGTCCCCTGTTTTCTCAATGAATATAATTCAAGATGAGTTTAATGATAAATTCTTATATGGTATCTCTCTGACCTTATGCATTCCAACTTATCTCTCAGCCTTGTCCTCTACCAGTGTTTTCTCACCTAAGTCATTCTGTTATTCACTTATTATTTACTCAACAATAGTGAAGCATTATTCATTCAATAACAAAAAGTATAATTTAGTATTATTGCATGGGAGTCATACCAGAGCCAGATTGCAAGCAAGTAACCATCAACTTAAATGGACACTAAAAACACAAGGGGTATTTCCATAAAGAACTATTCACACTGATGATGAAATCCCTAAATATGCAGACACTTTTATACCATGACATACATCAGGTTTCATTGTCATTGATTAATTATAAGGTTCTTTTTATCTTAAATGCTGTAATTTTTGTTTAGTTCAAAATAACTTGATTCTTAAATTTACAAATTAGGGCTTTTTAATTTTTCATTCTCAAATAGAAAAGTACCTTTTTGACCTAGGATTTCTAAATCCGCAAGATCATTCCATCTTCTCAATGCTTCTACTCTACTGCAAATTATATTCTTCTTTGCATTTAATTAACCCATGTATATTTGTTGATTTCTGTTTTCAAGACCCTTTTATAAAAGTCTATCTCTTTTTCTGAAATCATTTTTATATTTTAGTAATTGTTTTGTCCATTTAAAATCATAAACTAAGAAGCACAATGATGTATTAATCTTCTTTGAGTCATCTCCTTTAGCAATTTTAAAAATTGATTATTAATATGATGAAAATCTGCCTTCTAAGAAATATTGAGCATGGAATTTCTTTATTCAACCTGGACTAAGCATCTGCTATATGTCCAGCATGTTAGTGGCAGGGTATATGTGGCAGAAAAGATGCCCTGCTCTTACAGTGCTTATGTGCTAGTTGAAGACAGAAATTAAGCAATGAATCGTAAAAAAATCATGAGGCAAACAACAGTTCAAGTAGCAATGTAAAACAAGATGCCATGACAGAAAATAAATGGAAATAGGAGATCCCATTAGTCAGAGGATGAAAGGAGGGATCTCTGAAGAAGGGACATGTAAGCTGTAATCTACATGATAAGATGGCAACTAATGCAGGGATCTTGCAGGTGAGCAAACAGACAGCAGCAAATGCCAATACAAGGACTATATGGCACTTTTAAAACAGCAAACAAAGAGCTCTTCCCTGTATCAGAGTAAGCCAGGAAAGGGTTGTATAACAATAAGACTGGAAGAACAAATCTACATCCCTCAGAAGGTTCATGGTACATGGGTTGATTTTTTGAGTTTTACCTTACATAATAAGAAAGCTTTAATAAAGACAAGTGACATGATTTGATGTACTTTTTAAAAGACCCTTTCTGGGAGTGAAAGATA